AGCAGAGGAAAAGAGCCCCCCCCCCCCCCCCACCCCAGCACATCCCTGTGCCCTGCCGAGGGAGCGTGCACAGAGCTGCATTTGTCCCCTTCCATGTCTTGGACTGAGCTCAGACCGTACATTTCAACGAAGACCCAGGCAGGGCAACTCCTGTGGTGCTGGGCAGCTTTGCAGCCCGTGGGGCAGGAGCAACCAGCACTGACCTGGACATCATCCCAGCCAGGAAGGGGCCTGCCGTGTTCCCAGAGCTGCCTCTACCCCCTGCAGGTGCAAGATGCTCCCAGCTGTCCTGTCAGGACCTGTTCGAATCAAATGCAGTGAAATGACCGCAAACAACCACCACTTACTATGCGTAGTCAGCTCTGTTCCTCCAGAGCAGTAGTGTAATCCTGTGGTGTTAACAGATCTAGCAGAAATCCGCTTGGCAGCAGCACTGAGTCAACTGGAAATGTTCTTGATGGCTCCTGCTTGGTAGCCCTGCTGCGCTGCTGGGGGGGCCTTCTCTAGCTGTGTGAAACTGCACTGGAGGCCCTTAATGCGGCCCTGGCTTTGCAGCTGAGTAGGTGCAAGTAGTGGGTCGGGTAACTTTGAATCTTGGATACTCTTGCCTGTGAGCTTGGTTGTATGGACTGTCCCACTGTCACTTCATCTGATGCGAGAATGTCAGGTAAATACTGCTTTTCAACACAACCTCAGTATCTTACTTTTCCAGGTGTTGTGTCACAAAATAATTCATTTAAAAATAATAAAATTCTTATGGAATGTAATGAATTATTTGCAAGTATAAGATTAGATCCTAAACAAGTCTGGCATAACCCCTGACCCCTTTTTTTTCTTCCCTTCTCCCCAAAAATGCTTAAAAAGATGATGGGTGTCTCATGTCTTCTGCAGCACTATCTCATTTAATTTACTGAGAGACAGGTCTGCACGCAGCCTAGTTTTCATCCTTTGTGGCAGGTACTAGCTGCTCCCTCTGCTGATAAACTGCTTTTGTTAAGGTATGCACTATCGTGGAGAGAATGGGAGGTGCTGAACAGTAACTAAAGGTAATTTGTGTGACATAGAGATGTTTCAGAACACAAAGTTGTTGAATTAATTGGATTATATTCAGTTTTTGTAATGTTAACTTCTTGGCCTGTAGGTTTTAAAAATATCCATCCTCACTCAACAAAGACACAGAGTATAATCGGAGTCTAGATAAATTACATCTCAAATACATTCACGTTAAAAATAAAAATCCATAAACCTGCAAAGACTGAAGTGCAAATACTTTTTCACATTTGTTTAAATTTTTATGATGCTGAAGGACTATCTAAAGGCTATGTAACCTTGACTGATTTTAAATGTGGAAAGTTTGGTAACCCTCTCCAAGACTAAGTTATATGAAAACTTTATATATATATATAAAGTTCCCATATATATATATGGGAAGTATTTCCTGTACTCATAAACCAGTGTATGTGTCTTTTTTAAAAAATACTTTTTTAGAAAGGCCTTTTTTTCTGGTTCCTTTTAGTGACTGTTGCAGCTCTGCACACAACTGGCAGCAGTCGGCACTAGAGGTCCTTGCACAAGCAGCTGGCAGCGGTCGCTCCTGCTGCAGGGGAAAGCGAGAAGAAGCTGGTCCCGAGAAGGGGCAGTTTGGTTAACCAGTCTATAGCCATGATTTATTTTTGCTGAAAGCTGTTTTGACTTGGGGAAAATAAAAATACACATACACCCAAGTAAAGGAAAAATCTTGCCCTGAAATTGCAAGCTGTTATGTTTGAGAAGTGACTTAGAAAACCTTTTCTTTCTGTACAGTGACAATACCAAATCATTTTCCTTTATAACCATCATATATACAACACAAATATGAATAGAAGAATTCTATAAATACTTCAAAAGGCATTTATAATATAGAGCAATTGAGGGCCACACCTGTACAAAACATAAGCAACATATATAAAATGATTAAGAAAAGTGCAAAGTAGAACAGTATCAAGAACTTCCACTTCTTACAGCATTTATGGTTCAAGTGCAAAGAGCTAGCAGGGATGCAGGAGCTCAGACACTAACAATTCAAAGAGACATAGTACAGGATACTGCACACAGAGTGATAAACTATTATTAAATTACTCCCTATCCTCCTGCTTCAGCACATCTATAGCTTCCAGTTATTAAAAAACACCTTTGTTTTTATAATCAATTTCTACATAGAGTGATTTGTCCCTTTTTACAAGTTCCTTAAAACAGAGATCTCCAGCCAGGCATTACTTTCCTGTAGTTAAAACAAGACAACGGAGAAGCTGCTACTGGCTTCCTCTTGTCTTGTTTTGGTTACAGTATTTAAAAGGTGAACAGAAATACTTTTTCATTTTGTAAATACAGTTATCTTAGACCCTGTAACTTATGTACAGATGACTTGTACTGTTACTCATATACATTAGAGATCTGAAGGATCACTGCCTTAGAAAACAGAAGCAACCACTTCCCCTTCCCTGTCCCACCCGAAACCCAAAGTTCTCCTTTTAGTTAAAACCTGCTTAGAGGCAACTGTCCCTCAGTTCCACTGCTGTTGGCCTGCCGGGATGCGAGTTCTGCTTCCACTGATGACTGCTCTAAGGTCAGTGCTGCTTGCAGCAGTGGGTGTCTTGGTCGTCTCTTAGGCTGCATGCCCGAGCTGAAAGTTCTGCTTGAATTAAAACATAGTGGCAAGTAAAAATGTTTTTGGTGAAGTTGAAGTAGGATTCAACACTCTTGAAGTGTCAAGTAACTCACTTCTTGAAAGCTTTTCAGTTCACCTTTATTTCAATAACTATACTTCGTATTCTCTTTTAGGCACTGTAGTCAAGATATTAATTGATGTGCAGAAGAATCCATCTCTAATGCGTTATTAGTGACCTCTAGCAAATTCTTGACTAATGTTTTTTGTTTTTTTAATGAATGGTAAGCTTTAAAAATATTTTTCCCCTTATGAAGTTTCTTGCTGTGATATAATAATCACCCTCATTGTATTAATATTCCTGGTTGAAGTATGTGCCAGACTTCAGGAATTAGAGGAATGAAAGCAGTCTGAATATGCTAGAGGAACAATAACACCAACAATGACCTAGACACACTGTGTCATGTAATTAATGTCCACCTCAAAACTGGAGATAATCACATTGAACACTAAAGAGCATCAATGTTTTCTGCTAGTAACTAGGAATTTGGAGTCTAAGGTTTTTCTTTTTCTCCTTTGTTGTTGTCATTAGAGATTATAGAAACATTCATCCATTTTGTGTATTATCTTGAACACGTGATAACTACAGTATATAAGGACATCCAAAATTGAGTCACGAAAACTTCTGCACAACTGTCTAGTCAACACAACTCAAGTTTATTTGCCTCCATACATTCTTTCGATGTCGTTGAGGTAATGGTTTTTCAGTTCTTTCCTTTTCAACTTGAAAGCATCTGTTACTAACCCAGTCTCCGGTGTCCATGGTTCAGGGCTTAACCGTACTTTGATGGGGATTTCAAACCGTTCTAATTTCACTGCAGGGACAAGAAGAAACAAAAGCATGTCTATGATTACACTGAAACACTCGGTCATGTCACCTAAAAATCTAAGGCAAGGGTTCTGTAACTTGCGTGGTGTGCTGTCCTACTTTAAGGTTACTTTAAGTGGGTCACTGAACTTACCAGTGCTCAGTGCCAATTATTGTGTAAATATTCTATTAATGTAGTGTACTTACAGTCTGTATTGGATGTGGCAGTGCTAAATCTGATGCTTGCAACAAGTGAGTTTATAGTCTGAAGGTCTGAGACTACTGTCGGAAGAGGACCTGCTGAAATCTATCAGGAATTTTTTAGCAATAAAGGTTACATGATCTGAGAGATTTAAAAATAATGGGATAAAAGATTCAAGAACTACAGGATAAAAATAACTTTGTTCTGGCTAATATTGTGCGCTGCTCGTTGGAGCCATTTAAGTCGGGTAGACTTGCAGCACCTGACAGGAGGCCCAGGCTGTGGAAAGGCACGAGCAGCTCGTGCCCCTGAGCACATCTGCCGCTCTGCTCCTGCACCATGCGCACGCCACACACCCCCACCCAGCCTAGCTGCAACACTCGCAGCTCTAGGCCTTTCCACAAGCTAGAGCTATGTGCTTCTTGCAGGAAAAAGGATAAAAACTTGGTATTGAAGTTATAAACAAGGGAGTGAGATACTTGGTATATGCTTTCAGGTATTTTTCTTCCCTAGGAGTCTGTTTAGAGCTCAGAGTACCCTGCGTGCACGCAGGGGAGCTCCCCACGCAGGCAGGGTGCAAGGGGACCCCGGCACACTGGGGACTGCGGCCCCTGGCCCCCCACGTCAGCACAGCTGCCAGGGGCAGCACAGACCAGAGCACGGGGCCAGGGCTGCGCGTCCCCCTCACAGCCTGGTCCTGGCACTGGCTCTTTCAGCTGATTTGTATCAGTCTGCTTCAAGTATTCTTGGAATAAGATTCACATAACTTAAAATTAGTTAAGTGTACCAGGTAGGAACAAGGAGAAGGAAGTGATAACAACATACTCTTTGCTGGTTAACGTCCTGTATGCCATTTTACTTACTCTTGTTTGCCACTTCTTTAATTTCTCGCAGTATTTCAGCTTCCATTGTAGGATTGTTACAAATATCTACCCAGGTTCCCGTGATGCCTTTCTGCTCGGCTAAAGCTGTCAGCTTCTTCTGGTTAGGAACCACAAAACTGATCACGTAGGACTGGTCACTGACCAAAGGTGCCAAAAGGGGAGAAAGAAAACAATCAAACAAAAAATAATCGAAACATGCTTCAGTTTCAGAGAGTAAAATGCTTTCCTGATGTTAGCTATACAGCTCTATAGTCCTTTCAGAACTGTAGCTATCTTCACCCCTCTCCAAGTCTTTCTTAAGAGTATACTAGATCTTCACAGTCTTATTTATAAAAGGGGCTCTAAATCGTTTTAAGTGATCGGACTTGATCAGTGTTGTATTTAGATGTGTACTCATGTGGAGTTACAGCATAATTTAGGTTCCCTGTTACACCAGTATTGAACTCGTTCTTTCAGTTTCCTTCCATGAACAGAGTGTATAGGAGAGCAGAAGGAGGAGAGAAGTTTCCAGAGTTCATGGGGAGTTCTGGGTCAGGTAGAAAGTGCCCAGATTAACCCTTCTCTAGTATTCTGATGGAAAGCCAGAATACATGCTTAATATAATTAGACCTGTTGGGGAGGGGCATGGAACCGAAATGAATTAGGGTAGGGGAGATGCACAGAAATGTTCCATCCGTTTCTCCTTTCCTTGTGTTTGGGGAATCTGAGAGCCTGTGCTACCTCAGAGGTGCTCTTTTTAAGTCATGCTCAGATGCAGGATTGTTCAGTGGAAACCATGGATAGCAGCAGTGTATCATTGGAGAACAGGGGCAGAACCTGTATTTCAGATGTACCCTAAATTGTTTCTGCTCTTACCTTTTGGCATAAGCACAGATATTGTCAATCAATGGACAGTTCTTCAGTGCAGCCTCTACCTTGCCCAGAGATACATACTCTCCTGCTTGTAGCTTTACCAGGTCTTTTTTACGATCTAGGAGTCAAAAGTAACATCAACAGAAAAGGCTGGTTGCATTCGGACTTTTGCATTTCCACAGGCTCTTTTGTAAAGCCACTGTTTGTCATGTATTTTGTGCAGTGCTGTGCAAGAGCCTCAAAAAAGAAATTACCACATCTTACACCAATTTTGAAAAGCAGCTAAGAGCCGCATATGTAGCTGGAAACTACATATGTATATATATGTCACACAACTGGTATAAAAGTGGGAATTCGGATTCTTAAACTGTGTAGTTAAAACTGAAAATTGTTCTTATGTTTATTTTTCACATCTCATATGCTAAATTTATATATTGGTAATGTCACAGGAAATGGAGTAATTTCCAAAATTTCCATGAGAACTTTTGGGAAAGTTTTTTTTTTACCCTGCAAGCAGGTAACTAACAAATCCATCCTGACAAGCCAAAAGGATGAAGAACATGCTTAGCGCGCTTTAAGGTCTTGTAACAGACAGAAGTGGCAAAAGGTGAGGCCAACCTATGATCTGCAGACACCCATCTGGATGAAATTCCCCTATATCTCCAGTTGAAAACCACCTCTGGCCATTCTCATCAATGGAGAAATCTTCTGAGGTCTTCTCTTCATTTTTAAAATATCCCATGGAGACATTAGGCCCACCAATTATAATTTCTCCTCTAGGATTAGGCTTGTCTCTATTAGTATAACCTCCTAAAACAAAACACAGTTATTTTCAAAACATGTATTTTGCTGTCAGGAAAACATTTTGAAGCTTTTGCTTAAAATCTGTGCACACACATTAATGATTATTATAAAAGATCATGAACAATTACTTCATGTACTACACCCAGCTAAGCAGTAGTAAATTAATTATGGTAAGGCAAAAAGATTTTAATGCTCTCACCTTCTTGCCAGTCTCTTAATTTAATTTCACAACAAATAAGAGGTGCTCCAACTCTGCCAGTGCTGTAATCAGCAACTTAGAGAGAAAAGAACAAGGAAGAATACAGAGATTTTTGTCATTTGAAATAGAAATTCAAATCATAAAATAGGACAGCAGTTTATTTCAAGTTACTTTATTGCACTTAGGAATTATTCTGGCTTCACCTTTAAAAAAAAGTACTTTTTTAAAGGTATTTCTACAAACATTTTAACTACCTTCTGTAATGGTTCCAGCTCCACATGTTTCTGTCAATCCATAGCCTTGCCCAACTGGACAGCAGAAACAGATGTTCATGAATCTTTGTGTCTGAGGTGAGAGTGGTGCTCCTCCAGAAAGCATCATACGGATGTTCCCTCCTAGTAATGCCTTTACTTTTTTAAATAATAATCTTAAAAGAAGGAAAAATGTATTGAAATATCACTCATTCCACTCAATTGGAGAGAAACCTTCCTCTTTCTTATCTAGAACAACTTAGAAATAACTGAATCACTCACAGATACTAGTTGACATCAGGGAAAGTAAAAAAAAAATGCCCATCTTGCATAATACTTAAAGATAGCAGAATGCCTGGGCTACAAGGATGATCAGGGGCCTGGAACATCTGCCCTATGAGGAGAGGCTGAGGGAGCTGGGCCTGTTCAGCCTGGAGAAGAGAAGGCTGAGAGGGGGCCTGATCACTGTCTATAAGTACCTCAAGGGAGGCAGTGAGGAGGATGGTGCTGGCCTCTTTTCACTGGTGGCCACTGACAGAACTAGAGGAAATGGCCACAAACTGAAGCACCAGAGGTTCCACAGGAACTTAAGGAAAAATTCCTTGACAGTGAGGGTGCCAGAGCACTGGAACAGGCTGCTCAGAGAGGTTGTGGAGTCTCCTTCTCTGGAGATCTTCCAAACCCGCTTGGACGCAGTCCTGTGCCACGTGCTCTAGGTGACCCTGCGTGTGCAGGGGGGCTGGACTAGATGACCTCGAGAGGTCCCTTCCAACCTTAAGCATTCTATGATTAAGTAAGTATGAGTATTAAATACGTATTCCCTGTTTCTACCAAGAGCTTGGATTATGTCAGTTTAGGCATTATTTTGTATTTGCCTGTTGATTAGAATTATCTGATGCCAGATAGCTTTGGTGATTCTCTGAGACTGTCTTAAACCATGATGAAAGTATGTTTTGACTGTGAACTATACTTACATGTTACAAAGAGGTGCATCAAAGTATGAGTATTAAATACGTATTCCCTGTTTCTACCAAGAGCTTGGATTATGTCAGTTTAGGCATTATTTTGTATTTGCCTGTTGATTAGAATTATCTGATGCCAGATAGCTTTGGTGATTCTCTGAGACTGTCTTAAACCATGATGAAAGTATGTTTTGACTGTGAACTATACTTACATGTTACAAAGAGGTGCATCATACCCCCTTTTGATTTGTTCCAGTTTGTAGTCATAGCCTATTTTGAACAGGGTTCTCTGAATATAGTTCATCTCTTGAACTTTACTCATGACGTTTTTATAAATTCTGTCCATTATTTCCTACAAGGTGTTGAGAAGGACAAAGAAACTCTGTCACATAAAAATCTTTATCAACAGTGGCTACAAATTCTGGGGTAATGTGCTATAGTGTAGTAACACTTGCTGTGCTGATACAGTGCTTACAATATCAAGAACACTTTAACCTGTACTTAGAATATGATAAATTGGATTACAAAAATCTTGAATTCAAATTTATCTAAATGGCTCTGTGAAAGGTTGGTATGTGCCATGCCAGACCAGCTACTTTTAAGGAGTCCTGATGCTTTATCCATGGCAGCTGGCAAACACAAGGGCATGAGCTAAGGGAGTTCATTTCACCACTTCCTTTTCCAAGAGAAGTCTTTCAACTTCCAAAGCAACATGGTTGCAGTAATTGTATTTATCTGACAAAAAAAAATCTCATAATTCAGTCACAGACAAGTTGTAAGAGGACACAATATTCATTTCAATTGAATATAATCACTAAATGATACAGAACTTAAAGGGGCCAGTGCTTCAGTGTCCATTAAATACTTGACTAGCCTAAATGTTAACTATTTTCATAATGCAGTGCTCTGTAACAATGGTATGCTTGACATCAATAATCAAATTATGGCGATCAGTTGAAAATAAAGCCATGAAAGTGATTTATTTTGAAATATCAGAGATAAAAATGAGAACTTTAAAAAAGAAACATACTACTACATACCCAGCTTAGCTACAAAATATCTGATGTCTCTAAAAGACAAATTCTGGAAGGCAAAGTAAGATTAATTGTAGCTTTTTGGAAGGACTAGTGACACAAAAAGTGTTCAGAATTAAAGGCTGGAAGGAACCACTAACAGCTACTACAAACTTCTGTTAGAGACAAATATGTATAAAAATTTGTGTCTTTGGATTTTATTACAGTTATTTTCTGTTTAATTCCTTATATAGTATAATAATTGTAATGATATTGTGCTCTGAAGATAAAAGCAGGATGGTAGTTCTAGGAAGGAAAATTTGTACTAGGCAGTTTTATTTATTAGACTTATGAAGCAAGTTACTTCTGCCTGCAAAACCTACGTCTCGTGCATTTTCAGCTGGCTTGTATTTTAGAGTGTTTCTAGATAGCTACATTCTCATTGATGGCATGCAGGTCTTTCCTGTACAATAACCTAACTTTATAGCCTGGTGTTGTATACAGGAAAGCTAAATCAGTCCTCTCAGTCCTTCAAAGTTGTTATGTTGGTAACAGTGTTGTTCATATAGGGGGGCTTTCTAAAGTGTGTGGCTTGACCTCCTTCCCCTTCCATGTAAATTGTTGAACTCTAGGGTAGTCTCTACTATCAGTTAAAAATGCACCACCTGTATCAGGTATTTTTTCCTCTCTTAGTTTTTTGTAGTACATCTGTAGAGGCAGGATGTTGGGGGAGGTTTTTCAAGGTACTGCAGCATTGTCACTGTTCTCATTTCATGGCTAATTTGTATGAAATTGTCTGCATGGACTTTTTATTTTTGCACATACAAAAACTATTCCTTTTGAGAAGAGATTATGCCATATTTAAAAATTACCATTTCTACTAGCACTCTAATATGGAGTTGGGCTTAAGTTATTTTCCACAGGAAATAACTGTAAGTGGCTAAGACCACTACGAAGAGTGGAGCGACTTGGGCTAAGTTTTACCTTGTGGCGAGACACGCTGCAGCCGCAGCAGCTCAGCTCGGCCAGGCGCTCACAGGCTTAAATGTCTGCGTTAACCAAAGCCACCCGGCTGCCTCCTCTGCAGAAAGAGCTTTCAGGCAGTGAATGGCCACGACTGGTTGTATCGTACTGTTACATCTATGGTCTAGTAAAATATCATTAATTATTGACAGTTACGGATCAAAATGAGTCTTGGCTTTAGTGTGTGTGTATTGTGCTCACGGCTGCAGCATCAGTACTCTGCCTTAAGCACCAACAACTGAAATTTCTGTGTTCCATTTTCTTGCCTATTAAAGTGACAGTTTCTTAAGCAAGTAAAGAAAACATGTTAGTAAATGTTGTTTTTGCTAGCATGAACAAGGTAGAAAGCACCTTTTTGATAAACTTATCACCAGTTTTCCTGTACTTACAGGCACAGCTGCCATCAGTGTGGGCTTTAGTACAGTACAGTCTCCTTTGCTTCCCTTCTTAATCTTACTTGACTGGAATAAAGAAAATGAAATGTAAGTTTGCAAAACCAAAAAGAAGCAGCAGTCAGAAGATGACTAAAATTAAAAGGGAAATGAAATACCATGTAATTTGTGTAAGTCTCCTCCCATGCCCCTCTAAACAGTATTTCCTACTGAATGTTTTATTCATTACAATAGGAAAAGCACTGATTAAAAAACAATTTTGACCAAAATATCAGATGATTTACAAGCCCAACTTTAAAAGCTCTGAAAGGTGGAATTGATTTTATTTCCTCCATAGTACTAGATTTCTCCCTATTTTCCTTTAGCAGTTTGTCTATTGTAATGCAATTGTAAACCAGCATAATATACAGCAGCCTTCTCCGACAGCTTAATTTGCTTTAATTTATCATAACTGTTAAACTGAAAATAGCAACCAAATAGAAGATCTGTAGTAACTGAAGAACTGATAATGTGTGTCTAAAAACTTAAAATCATTTCAAGCACTCTTGCATTCAGTCTATTAACAGCTGTTTCATCTCCTGATGTTCCATTAAATAATGCTATAGCATTCGCTAGGTTTTCTTTTAGACTTAAGTATCATAATTGCAAAGATGACAATAAAATATTACATGGTATGATCTGCTGCTGTAGTTTCAGCACACGTAAGTACTTAAGTTTGCTTAGTTTTCCCTTACCTGATCTGACAGTGTGAGCGGAGAGGAATATCCAATCCTGCAGCCGTAAGTAACACAAGAAATTTCTGCTGTCAATTCTAATACATGGGCCAGAGGCAAATAACCAATGTAAGTATCCTTGGGCCTAGTAAAAGAAAGGATTATCTGATTAACAGTGATGCAAAACTGGACTTAAAATACTGTTCAGTATACTTTGACGTACTTAGTTACTACTTTCTGAAAGGCTTAAATCACAAGTGAAGTTTCTTCTTTTGCATCCAAGAAGGGTATGAGCATAAAAGGCAGACCATAAACTAAATGGATAAAATGCTCCCTGACTGAAAGCGGTGCCTGTGAATTTCAGGCTTGCCTTGTTTTCTAGGAAACTGAATGTTTCCCTAGTTTTCCTAGCTACTTCTCATGGGAGATTTTATTCCCGTTACCAAATTAAGTTTAAAATTGTTTTTTACTGTAAAACAATCCTAACAGTCACAGTAGTATCTCCTTTTAAAACAGAAAGGGAGCTGGTCAATAGAGTACTGAGACTGATTCCAGGAAATAGAGGTCTCTTGGGAAGAAACTTAGATCTGTCAGTTACAGAAATCGGCACCATCGCTTCCAGACTGCTCTTTCAGCCCATCACAAAAGCTATTCCAACTCTTCCATCCTTCCCGGATGCAATGCCAACGTATCTCCAGCTGTGTGACAACTCAGGGTTTCTTACCCCAGCCCAGGTATCCTCTCGCACTGCCCGGTCATTCCAGCTATCAGGTTCTTATGCATCATCATCACTCCTTTAGGCCTCCCGGTGGAGCCGCTAGTGTACATGACTAAGGCCAAGTCTGTCGGAACAGGTCTGCTTGGCAGAACACTTACTACAAAATGCAAGAGAAAGAGCATGTTACTTATTATGTACTTTGTACATTGTTATTTCTGTAATTAACCAGTAAGAAAGTGTCTGAAAGGAATAAGTACACAGACACTTAATGTAAGGCAACACAATCTGCATGATACTTCTGCCCTCATGTTTTACAGCTGACTATAAGTTTCATAGAAAAAGTCTGGTGAAGGGATAGCAAACCTGAGAAAGGTGGTGAACGAGGGAAGTGCACTATTAGAGGGAAAACAATGGGGTTTAAAAATAAAACCAAGAAGCTGCAGCTTTTTGGTTAACTTTTCCACCATTCGTTGTTCCAGAGCCTGACTAACATGACTGAAGAGGTTTGATAGTTTTTGTATATTTTTCCTATCTTCTAACTGAACCTTCTTCAATTAAGTTGCTAACAGTAGAAAACTAGTAAACTTATAATAGTTTATTTCTGATTTTTATTTTAATCCTTTTGCAGTTATTTTGTCTACTGTAATGATGAAAACCTTTTGGCTTTTATGACTTCCACAGCTAGAGAAGCAGAAGAAGTGGCTGAAAGCAAGAAAAGTTAGGGATTTTCAATAAACCTTCACGTTAGCTGTCAGTCTGTATCAACTCTTTAAGCTGGCCTGTGTGGCAGAAAAATAAAAACACTACATCAGATTTTCCTTACTTCCTAAAATAAAAACCATGAGGTATTCTCAGCATGTTTTATGAGTTAAAAATAAGGTTTTATTTTGAAGTACCTGACACTTGAACAAAAATACAAGAAAATGAATAGGGATTAAACAAACACGTCTAGTTTTCTGCTTATTTAAAGGAAACTATAGAGATTTGCATGGTTTTTCTTTCCTGATGAACTATTTTAACCTACCTCTGATCTCACCATTATATTGCTTGTTAAGTTCTCCAATAAATGGTTCACTTACAATGCTCTGGTTTGGCTCCCAGCTCTTCTACTGTTTGCATACTATGAATCTCCAAGTTTTCAGGGTATTCTGATTTATTGATAGTCTTCTTATCCACATAAATGATATGTTTAAGACAGGAGACTTCTGTCAGTGCAGTCTAAGAAATGGAAAGGGAATTTTTAGTACTGACTGCATTGTAATATGCTGGGTTGTTTGAGAATGAGTGAACCTGGTGCCTAAGTTACCTAAAGTTACAGGTAATGTTACCTTACCTTAAGTTTGCTCTCAAGAAGTTCTGCGCTTGTGATCAGATATGATGCCCCACATTCATTGAGACCATAAGTTACTGCCTCTTCACCCAGGGTGGCATATAAAGTAACAACTGTCACATTAAAAGGGTGAGAAAAACAGAAATTAAAAAACAAAGTAATACCATGCGAAGGTTTTTGCTTTAACTCAATGGACAGCAGTGTAGGGGGAAAAAAAGGCCAAAAAAAAAAAAAAAAAAAAACAGAAAATGGGCTTTCTGGGAGTCTAATTAGACTATAAACTGTTTCATTTTCCTACATCAGAATTTTATCCTCCAAGAGACCTCTGGAACAAGAAGGACAGTTTCATAGAACACAAAAAGTCATCTGAACAACACTAACAAAAAGATCCTCAAAAAAAAGAACAGCAAAAATGCACTAAGCAGTTGCACAGCAAGCAGCTGAGAACATCTGGGTCCTCTGGGTGAGTTCTCTGCAGACAGAACACGGGGGAGAGGAGAGGCTGCTGCGAGCAGCGCAGGCAGCCGGCGCAGCTCGGGCCTTTCACAAGCAGCTCTCGGCAGCGGTGCCGGCGCTCGCCACCCCGGGCGCTGCCCTGCTCAGCCCAGGGCCGTTACGCATGGGGGCAAGGCAGAGAATGACACTAAGGTCCTGCACTGTTTTTCATGTTGCTAGATTATTTTTAACCCTGATCAGCTACAGTGAACTGTAAGTGCCTCACACGCACCGAGGAGGTCACCCTTTCCAATCATCTGTGTCGAGGAGGAAAAAAAAAAAAAATAAAGCCTCCCTTAGTGTCATACTTCCATTTTAAATGCTGACCTCCAAATAAACATTAAAGGAAATATTCCTGTGAAAGGGGGATCATGCAGAGGGCCAAAAAGAGAGTAATGTGATAGAGCTGCTATGAGGATCACCTCATCCTGTTTCAACAGCAATGTTGGCTTTTACGTTATTGCCCTTTAGCAGCCCCGTGCGAACTCTATTCAGTCACCAGCCTCTCCCACAGCCAACTGCTACTAACACTGAAAGAAAACGCGCAGCCTGCTGCAAGCAAAACTGTAAGAAGGCACCAGAAAGAAACTCTGGGTCACAGTGTGCTGCACATGCAGCCAGCATGCAAGCGTGCAGCATTCCCTCAGCAGTGCACCAGCAACCTACCATGAATTAATTCATAGCCCCATGAGCGCTTAGTTTTTTTTTTTTTAAAAGGCACATTGCAAAGACTATGAGGACCTTAAAGGTCACAAGAAAACCCTCAAGCTAGCATATGATTTTTTTTTACTTTTTTTAAAAAATAATTATTTCCAAAAATTATTTCCTGTTTCAGATGTGGAAGTCATAATACAAAAAGAAAACACTATAAACACATTCCATAGTTTGTGGCGAAAATGCAATTACTGACAACTTCAGAGTGCTTTAATGACCACTTTCCTGTCCATTCTAACATCTTAAATTAAAAAAAAACAAAACAAAACAAAACAAAAAACTTAAAAAAACTAGCTGCAGAGTAAGTTTATTAAATCCTTATACGATTGATGATAGGATTGGCACATTCAAAATACTTAACAGCTAAGCCAGTGCTGAAATGTATGCAAGTTCGTTACTCACGGGGAAAGTTGTACTTGAAGCAGGCTAGTGCTGCAATCATCCATTCTGCTCGGGTCTCACAGAAGATCACCACGGTACTGCGGGGCGTTAGGCCCAGCGCAGCCAGGCCGCTCCCCAGGTGATTCACTTTCTGATTGACTTCTTCATACGATAACCATTTGTAAGTCCCTAAGATTAACTGGTGAAAAAAATGTATTTTTGTGATGATGAGGAAGTGCTGGTAATGTGAGTCAGTGCAAAACACTATTACAGTTCTTGAAATAAAAAGAAAAAAAAAACACTAGTTTTCTTTTTTTTTGGAGTATCACACACAGTAGTGTGTTATTCTTGAAATACTATAAACTGCATATTTAAGACCACAAAATGAAGAAAAGTTTAAGGAAGAACACCCACCTCTCCCCCCATGAGCCCACTACTGCTGAGAAGAATCAGCCCAACTCCAAAGCACAAATTTAACCGTTTTACCTTTTTAAACACTTTTCCATTTGGTTGCATTTCATTCTCTTCACTCAGTATTTCCCTGGTCCCCAGGCAGTCCTTCTTGCCGAACCTGGCTAAAGCGTGGTCAAAGAGCTTGTCCAGCGTGTCTGCCCCGGGGATGTTGATGTGTGCGAGTGAGTCGAGATGCGCGACAGACCGGTAGGGGCTTCCGGGCTTGTCCGAGACCGGTTTAGCTTTTAAACGTTTTGCCATAGCCTTTTTCTTCTTGGCATTGGTAAGAAAATACCATGGAATAAATACAAGCATACTGTACACAGATATCAACACGTACACAGGCAGCAAGAGAATGGCACACACTTCTAGCCTAAGTTTCATTGCGAATTAAAAAAACAAAGTCTCTTATTGTGTTCTGAGGGCCCGAGCTCTGAAGAAGGCAAGAACGAAGCAGCGGTGCGGTATGGTGGGAAAGAGAACAGTAAGGGAAGCGTAGGCAGTTTTGCTTCTAAGCAGCAGCTAAAATTTTAGTAACCTTTGAGAGCCGACAGCGGACGCCTGTGGGTGAAGACCAGAGCCAAGCAGAGAGCAGGGAAAAAAAAAGAAAAAAGAAATTAGTAATATTATAATCAATCCATTAGTTTCAGTCTTTCAAGATTTCACCTCAAATGCATCACGACAAAGGCAACTGAAGCAGCTGGGCTGGGAGGCTGCGTGATATAGCAGCGCACTGTTTTGCAGATTAAAGAATCTTTTCCATGCTTGTTTCTTGCATCTACAAATATTTACTTTTCAGAGTCTTTTCCACATTATCTGTGTTTGATTAGCTCAGGGCTGGTGAGGTGAAGTCCGTCCTTCACATCATAATATTGTGTTTAAGCTACTTGAGTAACGCCACAATTGCATAACTTGGGACAGGGGTCAGCAGGTTTTTTTCAACCTAAATATTTGTACTACAATGGGAAGATAGAGTAGGTTTCTTTGCTGCCTTGAAGAATGCTGTATTAACTTTATTCAGATTTGATTGTGTTTTTATACAGACTCCTCAAAAAATCTACATGTTACAATCTAAAAAACATATCCCCACATTCCTTTATTCAGCAACTGAATTTTTAATCTGTAACCAGTCTTTCCAACTAGGAATGCCAAACTTTTTGGCATTTTGGTATTACTTATTACAAAGCTTTCCCTCCACCCTTGCCCACAAAGCTACTCCTGTATATTTCTTTCAGGACTCCAGACGTGGAAAAATGGAATCCAATCTAACCCATTTAATCCAAATTAAAGCCAACCTAGGCAAGATTTTGCCCAGCCGCATGCATAGTCAGGAGCAGTTGAGATGCACCAGCAACGGAGGGAGCAACCCAGGCTAGTTTGTAGCAAAGCCCAATCTTTTACAGGCAGAATCTAATAAACAGAAGGGATGAAAACGGGAGAACTGAGAGAGTCCCATGAGAAAACAGGAGAATGCGGCACACTTCACGCTGCACCCTCATTTCCACATCGGCCTCTCCAGGTGAGGGAGGCTGAGCAAGGCTGCTGCCACCAACATCGCAAGGAGAAACCTATTAGGAGGCGTTTGCTTTTTTATGAGAATTGCCACATCTGCAGTTGTGTGCAGCCAGTAGCAGCACCATTTAGGGTAACCTATGACTGAGAGAGCTGTGCACACTTATGATCATCTGATGAACACGTATTTTTAATTAAATCTGTGGAATATAATTGCTACATAACTGTCGTGTCATGTAAAAAAAAAAAAAAGTTCAGACTTGTCCAGGATAAAGTATGTCCTGGGTATTTTTCTTTATAAAAAGTAAATTCTATATTCTTTTCAGAATTGATTCTGCTTTAGTTAACCTCTTCATCACCAGGGTATGGCTCAGCAAACAGTTAAATTGCAGCATAACAGATAACATTTTATTTCCCTAGGCTTCAGTTTTCTAAAATGAAGGTCACTGATTTATATTACAAATCTTGCACGACAGTTTCATCCCAGTTATTTCAGCGCTGCTAAAGAAGCAGTCAAGCCTATATGTAAAACAAAAGCCAGCCATAGTGCTGAGACTAGTTAAAAACTACAGCGCATAACCATGATTAGACATGATATGTATTAAAATAAACATCAAAGAGAGAAGTCTGTCTGCTCCTCACACAGGGACAGCACACCAGCGAGCCCAGCCACCTGGACAGAAACCAGACTTGTTGGGCTATGCAAACAATTTAATGACAAGACAGAACCAGGTCTTTTATTTTGGCTGAGTAGCAGTTTTTCCACAAGCACCCCCACTGAAATCACATTTAATGCTTCAAGTAAGTGCATGTACAGACACACTCTGTGCACGCCAACTTTAATATAAAAGTTCATATAAGCTAAAGTTAAGGTCTGATTTCTTACATTTTGAAGTTTCAGATTACTTAGAACTACATCAAAAAGTGTTTCTACACAGATAACAAACAGCTAATCTGTACACAGTTGTGGTGCCTCAAAAGGCTTCTATTTGAACAAAAATCATTTGGAAATCTTAACAGAAATAACCTGGAGAGACTTGATAACTTATAACCAAAAGACACGCTCCGGATTTTCCTTTGGATATTTTCATATGAAAACACACACACATACACATATATAGATTATTATACTTACAAGATATCTGACAGTGAGGACGAGGTTTTAGTCAATCTCAATTAGATCTAGATTAAAATATAAAAACAAGGTATTAGTGGTTGGCTATATTCTTTTCAGCCCTGCAGAAAGGAAGTTATGCAGGAATGTACAACTTGCAGTACTTTTTTAAATGCCAGCATGATGCTCCTAAAGAAGAGCCGCTCAAGTGTAGCCAGTGGTGGCATGTGCTAGCTGCTCTAGAGGACAGCAGTGATGTTATTGAAAAAGGCTAAACTTGCAAATCCCAGTGTACAAATAAAGATGAAGCTACAAAAAAGATGTTTAATTTTGATGAGACCGATGAGTTTGGGTATTCAAGTACAAGAATTTTCAAAAACACTTGCCAAATAAAATATTTATTGCATTTTTAAATATAGCACACAACAGGCTGGCATATGGAGCTTGCCAAAATACCTAGATACTGAGATACCAATTCCATTTGGTTATAAGCCAAATTTAGCTACTCAAATTACCTCCTTTCCCTTCAACATCTCTTTCAAGTTTAATTAGGCTTTGAAAGAATGAACAACAGTGGCACCGTTTGTAGCGATGTACCACCAAGGATGCCTTCAAGACAAGCCAGGTGTGGATTCCTGCCACGGCACAGCAGCCACGCTGTCGGGAAACTCCCTCTTGCCTCACAAGTAAGTGTAGCTTACGCCTCGTAAAAATCGCTCTCTCAAAATAAAGCCACATCCTAACCTTAGAAAATTCAAAACATGTATTTAATATCTACATATGAAGTTTATCATTTGTCTTAATTGCACAACACTAATTAATTATTTGGCAACTTATCTGTTTGTTTTAGTAACAGCAGAGCAGTTCTTGATGTAAGAAATGCCTATTCCCAGCAATAGCAATCAATGTGCGTCATGTACCAATACAGCCTTAAAAAAGTAACAGATGTAGTTTCTATCTTTCAAGCGCTGTGTTTGCAGTATCTCCAAATGATTTTCCTCGAGTGAGTAAGCTCCTTTCCCCAGTTTTGAAATGGTGACTCTCTAGGCCAGAGGTCATTCACCATTTGCAAGGATGTGTAGAGCGCACAGATCAGAGCTCGCACGCAGGAGCTGGTAACATTTTCCATTAGTGGTACACATAGCTGTTTACAGAAATGCTACAGGCCAGGTTTGCAGTAGAAAACAAACGACTGTCGTGAGTGCTCGTGTAAGCACCACCGCCGCGTGGGCATCGGTGCCCTCCTGCAGCGCACTCCGACTTCGACACGCTCAGCTGAAAGCTTCAGACGTGGTGTAAAACGCAGCCCTTCATTCCCACGCACCAGCCAGGTCCCCCAAGCAGTTTGGAATCAGAGTGCAGGTTTGGGAACACAAGGGACAGCCCTGATTTAGTAATTTTTCATGAATTTAAGATAACGTATAGAGCGAGTGGCAGGTATTCAAATTTATTTTACAAAAGTAGCTTTTAAATAAGCACAAGCTTTTGTGACTTTTAATTAAAAGCAGCGGCAGGGGGTGACAGAGGTTCCTATCTTTGGAAGTGGCCATTCACAGAGGAGGAAGTGCCTTTATCTTCTCTGCATTTAAATTCTGACATACAGAACCACCTCCCCCAGCATTTGTACATACCACTAGCATTTCTAAGTGTAACAAAATCTAAAGAAATAGGCATTGAAATTATTATCTTGAACAGAAGAGGCTTTAATAGCAGAAAGACCAAATCTCTGTTAAGAATTAATACCGAAGGATTTGGAGAATAGTGTTTACTGTTCTTCCTCTTCCAACCTTGCTAGTGAATCAATTTGCTATAAAATAGCACAACTGGAAGAAAAGTTTTATTTACAAACTACTTCAAATGTTACTTGCATCTTTTTGAATGTTGTTCCACTATGTTAACAAAGTCTTCTGCTTAAAGAGATGACATTAAGCAGAAAAGGGAAGTACTCTACTTTGAGAAGAATAGATGGAATCTCCAAAATGAGAAGCAGTTCAGTTTAGACTAAACACCCCTGGAGGAAATCCTGGTTCCCCTGTGACTGAGGCCTTGTGAACTTCAAGTGGAGCCACAATTCTGCCTTTAGCACAAATACTCAGGGCCAACTCCTTTCCGGAAGCACTGAAGTCTTCCAAAACAGCCCAGACTGAATAAGCAACAACTATTTCTTCCACTTCTCTGGAAACCCTAGTAAGCATTTCATAATCTAGAAGCAAAAACCCTGTTCTACAGATAAAAAAAGAAAGTGACTAAACTTAAATAAACATGGTGGTTATTAACTATGGTTAATTTTTGGAGGGAATTTAATCAATATTTACCGGTCATGAATTTGTTCCAATCTTAGAAGCAAAGAAATTTAGTTTTTCAAAATGAGATTACTGAAAAGAATGAGAAATACCATATTGCCAAAAAGCAGCAGCAAGTCTAAACACAGCCGAGAGACAAACGCATACTACAAAGTTGTCCACAAATTTTTGTTATCTGAGTTTATACCTGTCCCATACAAGAAAGAAAGAATATTTCTACAGATAAGGCAACTGTGATTAAATAATAACACAAGCTGGAAGAGTCTTGTGGCTAACTGCAGCTCTTTAGGGGCTGGAAGTTTTGAGGAAAAAAAAAAAGCACTAAGGGAAATGATTCAGTGTTTAAGTCATATCAGTGTTTTTCTAAAAACAAACTCTGCCAATTTTAATGCAACTTACTCATGCTAGAAAAAGAAGTACATAGGGTCCCAATTTTTGTTTTTTTTTTTCCTCAGACAGATTTCTACATATTTTCCTCTTGCACAATTTTGTACGTCGGAGGGCAGTGAAAAGCTTCAGAGGTAATCT